GTAAATATTTTTTCTCATATTCAGGTTTGCTGTTTCACTCTTACAATAGGTCTCTCTCTCTTTTTTTTTTTGGAGAGGTTTTTGCTATAGGGCACATGCGCTTGCCAGAAAGACAGAGACAGAGAGATAGAAAGCAAGAAATCACCTCCCTGGGAGGAGGGCCACGCCGCAATCCCTTCTCCTCCATTCTCCTCTCGGGATCTTGGGCACACACACACACACACACGCGCGCCTGGCGTGAGTTTTAAGCAACTGGGTTCGGGACTCGAACAGCAGTCGACTACGTGGGAGTCCAGCGACATAGCCATTACGCTAACTGCTGGTCCCATTCTAGGTCTCTTGATGTACAGAGTTCCTAATTTTAATATTAACCCTAATGTAACATAAATTTAATGTAAATGATAAAGCCTAACTTACCAATCTTTTCCTTCATGGGTCATCTTTTGGGGGTCTTCAGAAGCAAATCTTGGCCTACACCAAAGTCATGAATATATTCCTTTGTGTTGTCTTCTAGAAATTTTATTGTTTAGCCTTCACATTTAGATCTACCTTCTACCTGAAATTGATTTTGACATTGAGTAGATTTTTTTTTTCATTGGGATTTTCAATGTTCAGAAAGTACCTTCTCCTTGCTGCATTTATGCCACCCTTCTGATAAATTAAGTGCCTTTATCCGCATGGATCTGTTTTGAGACTCTATCGGTCATTTGTTTATCCTTGGGTCGCAGCCAGTTATTTCTTGGTAGTAATTTATAAGTACAATAGAAACAACAATAATAATAACTACAACAAAGCAAAATTATTATTGAAAGCCCACAGAGGCTCTATGGTAGGCGATTTGTCTATTGCTACTTCTAGCACACCCGGCAATGTGACGGTGTCTTAGTGTCAGCTCCAGTGAGGGTAATTTGGCTTTCTCTTTCAGAATTAAATATCAAGGAGACAAACTACTACTACCACTACATGGCTAACACATAGAATTTACTATGTTCCAGGCACTCTTCAAAGTACTGTACACACATTAATTTATTTCACCTTTCCAATACCTTTATGAGGTAGGTACTATTGACTTTCTTACAGATGAAGAAATTTAATCATGACTTGATCAAATAACCCCACTTGTAAGTGGTGCAACTGGACCTGGACATAAGCCAGTCTGGCTCCAGTCTGTGTTCTCAACCTCTGCCCTTGGCATCTTACCTGTGGGGTAATTTATTTCCTTGCAAACCACAACATACAGCCAGGGAACAGGGTAAGGACACCAGTCTTCTAGCCCACAGTCATCAATTATTATAGAGCAATTAGATTGTGGAAGATCCCTCTTGCCCCTCTGTTCACTTACTCTCTCTTCAGGATATTGAATAGTCATTTGAAGGCAGTTGGTAAGCTTAGCTTGGCTAAACTGTCTGAGACCCTGATGGGAATGTGACTTGATGTAAAAGCCCTTAATGATATGACTCCTGTTTTCCTTTCTAACACATCTCTCTCCAAAACCCCTAATGTCTTATTCTGTGTTTCTTCATGTGATGATCAATCAGACACAGCCACGAGGGGAGACATGGGGAAACAGTTTATTGTACTCACAGGTCCTAGAAACAGCAGGCACAGCGGACCTGCAGGAGTACAGGAGAAAGCACCAGTCAGGAGGCAAGGGGGCAGAACCAGCAGAGAGCCTAGGCCTAATAATCTGAGAAAAAGGCGAGACAGGGCAGATAAACAGTTTAGGATGGGCTAGCTGGAATCATTCCAGTGGCCTCTAAGCTATTGGGGTTAGTGCCTAATCACTTATTCCCTGGCCCTGGGATGATTAAGGCAGAACATTGCCTTCTGGGAGTCCAGGCCAGAGAGAGGCTGTATGGCTCAGGACTAATTTGTACATCAAAGGCATGCTCTCACCAGAGCCCTTTGCTGCTGTCTCTAATAAGTGGTTATCCCCACAAGGGCAGTCTCTCCCAAGCCAGGAAGATTTTTGAAGATGTCAGAACATCACAATATACAGAAAACTTAAAAATAACAATGAATGTACAACATAGGTGTTGTGTTCACATTGCCTGAGTGTCCCAAACTGCCATGTGCTTCATCTGAGCACATACATGTTGTTCCTTGCTTTGGCTGCACTTATCTTTTCCTTTGTTCTTTTTCCAGAGGGTGCATTTGTTGTGAGAGAGAAGGCATGCCCCCATGAGGAACTGTCATGCTATAATCACTTCTCCGTCTCCCTCCTTTAGGGATTTTGGGAACACATGCACATGTACCTAGCATGTTTTTCAAGTTGTCGGGATCCAGGATTTGAATGGTATGGTTGGCCATGTGGGACCTAGCAGTCTTAACCACCACATTGCTGGTTGCCCTATACCTGTCTTTAAATCTTAGATCAGACACCATTTCTCTGAGGTCAAGGCCTGATGGCCCAGATGCAACTAGAACATTACTATCACACATCCCAGTGCCGAGTGTTTCTCATATGGCTGGAATTACTGATTAGTGTACTATTTCCTTTTCTAATCGAAAGACCCTTCTGTAGGGTTGGGTAGTGGGAAGAGACAGAAGCACTGTTTGAATGTATGAATGTATGAGCAAATGAGAGATACACTCTCTCCTAAAGATAATATTCCACTTGTACCTCTTTTCTCTGCTCTGTATCATGAAGTGTCTCCAAGGTGATGACAAGTCTTCTGGCCTTCCTTCTCTGTATGGCTGTGACCTCTATCCAGGCCTGTTCCTGGCCAGGCAGGATAGCTGAGGAAGAAGGAAGGCTCAAAATTTGCACTGCTCGGTTACTGTGATTATTTGTTTGAATTACAATACTATGGAATTAATTCATAAGACAGAAACTATATTTTGAGGTAAATATTTTAAAGCTAAAAATAAGGAAAATCCAATCCTTACGACATCAGTAAGCAAAGGTTATGACTCATTGTAGACATGCAGAATGAAGTTCAAAGATGCCAAATAAGTTGGTTCAAGTTCCCAAAGCTAGTAAGCGTCAGCGGCAAAATTCTAATTCAAATCCAGGGCTTCTGTTACTAAATCTGGAACAGTTTCCATTAAGCAACGCGGCTCCCTGCTCCTTGATCTACATTTATTTCCCCATAGCTTGTATCAGTCAATATTTATAGACAATCAAAAGGATATGTATCATGCCTGCAAGGGCTAAGTTATTGATCATTCTGAATGCTCCTCAATGCAGGTTAAGCAACAGAGATTTTTCAAAAGGCAGGTAGTTAGGACAGCAGAGCTAGGGAACTAAGCATTTATCAATTTCTTTCTTTTTTTTTTTTTTTAGAGAGGTTTTTGCTACAGGGCGTGTGCGCTTGCCAGAAAGAGAGAGACAGAAAGTGAGAAATCACCCCCGGGGAAATGGCCACGCTGCAATCCCTTCTCCTCCATTCTCCTCTTGGGATCTTGGGCACACACACACATGCGCCTGGTGTGACTTTTAAGCCACCAGGTCCAGGATGCGAACCATGGTCGACTATGTGGGAGTCCAGCAACATAGCCATTATGCTAACTGCTGGTTCCAGCATTTTATCAATTTCTCATGGGCTAGTCTTTAAAGAATGCTTGTGCATTCTATTGAGGATACAAAGTATACAACAGCTTATAAAAAAAACTTCTTGAGAATTTGTTTCATTATAAAATTATAGATATAGCAGAGCCAGTCAATGATGTGGTAGTGAAGGTGGCCAGATCCCATATGGCTGACTACACAATTCAAGACCCAGACCCAGCAGCTTGAAAAAGCACACCAGGCACATGTGTGTATGTATGTGCCCCAAATCTCAAAAAGGTGGGAAAAATGAAAGGATTGTGGTGTGACCATCTTCCATGGGGGTACTTACTCTCTCTCCCTCTTGCTTTCTATCCAGCTAGTACACATGCTTTCTGGCAAATTAAAAAAAATTTTTTGAAAGGAGAGAGACTTATCAAATGTTTCCAGGTGATCAGTGATCAGTAAAATTAGGGATCTAAGATGCAAAGTATTGTCACTTGGTGCTACTAAAAAAGGCAAGAGAGTATTGATCTAGTGGGAAATTGTGCACATGATCATAAAATTCAAATAGTGGCAATGTAAACAAAAGAGACAACAGTGTTTGAAAATTAGAACACATTTTTATATATATAGCCAAAATAAAAAGTAATATTGTACAAAGCTAATTTTGATTTCTCTGTTTAAGTTTATCAACAAGTGAGCCAAGTGACCCTATATATTTTAAAATTTACCATTTAAGACATTCACACTAATATTAACTTCTCATATATGGAATGAAGGTTGAATTTCTTTCATGTGCTGAATGGGTGGTTTTAAATATCCATGCTAGGGGGCCAGCAGCTGGTGTGGTTGGGGTGCTGGACTCCCATGTGGTTGACTGCAGTTCAATTCTTGGACCTGGAGGCTTACTTTCTTTCTCTCTCTCTCTCTCTGGTGAGCGTACATGCCTTACAGCAAATTTTAAAAAATAATAATAAATATAATTAAATAAATAATTCTTTAAAGAAAAATTCATGCTAGTAGCTTTTTTTTTTTTCTTATATTCTTGCCATGGTTGGTGAGAGACAAGAGAGAGAGGGAAAGTGAGAAATTACTTCTTGAGGGGATGACTATGCCACAATCCCTTCTCCAACATTCCCCTATTAGGATTTTCTGCATGCATACACACTCCAAGCAAGTTTATCAAGCTGCCGGTCTGGGACTCGACCATGTAGTCAGCCATGTGGGATTGACCACCTTAACCACCACACTATCAACTGACCCATCTCTGCAGCTTTTACATAGACATTCCATTACTGTGACTTTTAAGAAATGACAGTGTCAATAACTCAATTATGAGCTCTCTTTCTTTTCAGTCATCTTTAAGATTCAGGGAAATGTGAAAAACTCAACTTTGGCAATGGCTGGGGGCCCCGGGCCCAAAAGTGATATATTCCTAAATGCTAGTTCATGAACTATACATTAATCAAATAGGAAACAGGAACACCAAATGTTTTATTATATATTTTCAATTCAGAAATACAAACAATATTTACATAGCATTACATTTAAGTATTTACACAGCATTAACATAGAAAACAGTAAGAAATGTTGATTTAGAGCCTAGTGACCATTTCACCTGTAATGTGAGGGTCTTTTAAGTACATGGTATACAATGAAAAGGATTGTTATAGAGTATGCTGAGGAAAAAAAGCATATCATAGGAGATTATTAGCTGCATACCTCAGGGTTTAATTACATTTTGGATCCTATTTTTTTATTAAAAAAAAAAAAAGGTTCACTGATTTATGAAGCCCAAGTTTGCTTTCAATAAATCACCCTCTCAACATAACACAATAAATTTATGGTTTATTACTTATCTATAATCTTTAAACATAATTGAAGAGCAAAACTTTGAAGTATGCTTAAAACATGAACAGAAATGATAAAAATATCAGACATGATGACTTAATAAATATAAGCCACATTTGGGATATAAATATACTTCATGAAGACTACACTGACCTGGTAATATAGGCATACAAAGGAATGATTAGGTACCATTTCAAAAGATGCTTATTAATCTAAAAGTGAAAGTTCATCATCAAACAGGGTGAACAATTAGAATGAGGCAAAGGAGTCAGCAATACAATTTCAAATTTCCAAATAAACCTGAAAATAACTTTCAACATTTATTTTTTAATGATAAATTTGTAAAACATGAAAATACTAAATTGAAAACCAGTCTTGAACTTGGAATTAAATACTTTTACCAATGTAAGAAAATACAGGCATATCCCAGTTTATAAAATGATTTACAAAGACAAATGATGGGGCTTCATTATCAATGCTAATTTATTAGTTAGTGAATTAAATGTCATACATAATAGGACACAATATTTTCCATTATATCACACTATATATTCACAAGTTATAAAAATAAATCTGCAGATTAAAAAACAAACTAAAAACAGAATCTCTAATACAAGTTATTTTAAAAAATGGCAAATTAACCTGATATCAGGACAGAGTTTTGCCATTATACGGAGTCTTTCTCTACTCAAAAAATTAAATAAGAAATCTTTGATCCACCAATGTTTTGGATGCCAAATTCTTTTGTCCAACCGTATTACGGATAAATCTAAAAATCTGGGAAATTAAAACAATACAGAATGAAAAGAAACATAAGGGAAATATAAAGAAATGTATTATGTACAATTAAGATATCTAAAATAAATTAGGTAACTCTCAACTATTTATTTTCACACCAGTCATCTGAATTCTATGATGATAACTCAAAATTATTTCAAGGTGAGACCAGAAGTTAGCGTAATGGCTATGTCGCTGGATTCCCATGTAGTCGACCGCAGTTTGCGTCCCGGACCCGGTGGCTTAAAACTCACACCGGGCGTGTGTGTGCATGCCCATGATCCCGAGAAGAGAATGGAGGAGAAGGGATTGTGGCGTGGCCATCCCCCCTGGGAGGTGATTTCTTGCTTTCTGTCTCTCTGTCTCTGTCTGCCTGTCTGGTGAGCGCACATGCCCTGTAGCAAAAGCCTCTCAAAAAAAAATTATTTCAAGACTATTTTCATATTTCATAATATCAAAGCAGTGTATGGGGGCCAACAATGGCATGGTGGATGGGGTGCTGGACTCCTATATGGCTGAATATGGTTCGAGTCCTGGACCTGGTCAGTTGCTTTCTCACTTGTCCTCTCTCACTCTCGGTCTCTCTTTGGTGAGCACATGTGCTCTACAGAAAATCTTAAAAAATAATAATAAGTAAAATAAATAATTTTTCAATAAAAAAGCAGTATATGGTTTTACTGAGAATGTATTTTTAAATATAAATCCTCCATGTTGAAAGGAATATATTTCAAAATGTTTTAAAATGCAACTTTCTTCAAATTCTAAAAGCTATGGAAACATCAAAGCAATCTATTATCAGAGACAAATTTTGTTCATAATTCTAGTTTTATACTAAGTACTGACCAGTAAATTTCATTCTAGGGCTCATATTCTTTTATCACATAGTAGAGAATGTCTGGGTGATGTTAATAATGACATTTCAAGAATAGATTTGCCATTTTTTGAAATCTCCACTCTAGATACCACATTCATCCCTGCAGCTATTTTTACTCACACAGCAGGGGACCCCTGAGAATTAGATCTCTGTGTGTGCTTTTTTGTTATGTTGTTAATACCTGGTATAGAAGGTGGATGGGGCTCTAATTACTGTGCACTTGGTCATACAGGAGATTGGCAGCCAGGTGTCTTCCTATGAATTCTTTTCATGTTTCTCAAGCAACTTATGCTTTCCACTAGACCCCAGGTATGCCACTGACCCTACAGGACAGGAGTGTGACTGCTATGAAAGTTAAATGTTTACTGCCAACATTTCTCTTCTTTTAGAAAGAATTATTTATTTTATCATTATTATTATTATTTTTTTTTGAGAGATTTTCACTGTAGGGCGCGTGCGCTCGCCAGACAGACAGAGAGAGACATAGAGATAGAAAGCGAGAAATCACCCCCCAGGGGGGATGGTCACGCCGCAATCCCTTCTCCTCCATTCTCCTCTCGGGATCTTGGGCACGCACGCACATGCGCCCGGCGTGAGTTTTAAGCCACCGGGCCCGGGACACGAATCGCGGTTTACTACGTGGGAGTCCAGCGACATAGCCATTACGCTAACTGCTGGTTCCCTCCTCATTATTATTATTTTTAAATTTGCTACAGGGCACATGTGCTCACCAGAGAAAGAAAGGTAAAATGCGAAAGCAAGCTGCCAGGACTCAACCAAAGTTAGTCATGTGAGAGTCCACAGCCTTTTTTTTTTTGAGAGGTTTTTGCTATAGGTCACATGCCCTTGCCAGAAAGAGAGAGAGAGAGACAGAGAGACAAAAAAACGAGAAGTCACCCCCCGGGGGGATGGCCACATCGCAGTCCCTTCTCCATTCTCCTCTTGGGATCTTGGGCATGCATGCACACACTCCCGGCTACTGGGAGTGGGACTCAAACTGCAGTTGACTACATGGGAGTCCAGTGACATAGTCATTACACCAGCTGCTGGTCCCAAGAGTTCAGAGCCTTAATCACTATGCCACCTGCTGGGCCTGCCAACATTTTCTTTAAAAGAAACCAAGAAAATGTTTTTTAATTTACCTCTTGTTGTAGGTATGTAAGGCAGGCTGCTAAAACAAAATTTTGGCAAGCCAAATCCACTACACAGAAGAACAACAATTCAAAAATAAGAAGGGTAGCTTCATTTCCATAGTACAGAGCACTGCTGAAAGAGTAACTTTCATCTGTTAAAAAGATTTAGAAGATTTAAATTAGAAATTTTAAAGTAGAATAAATTCATAGTAAATTTCTAGTGATACAATTTGTATATTAAAAAAACAGCGTAATAGAAACTAGTACTACATATAATACTTCAGGGCTTACACAGAAATAAGCAAAAGGTGTTAAGATGTGCTAATCTAAAAAGTTAGTCAAATAACTCAAAAAATTAAAAATTAAATTAAAACTTTTAAGCAGTTTTAAAACTGGGACCAAGGATTGGTCATTGCTAGCCGTGTACGTACATAATCACCTTTCAAAGACCAGTTAATGAACATCCCTTCTCTGTTTTGTTTTTTTTTTCTTTTAGTAACTTAGAAATCTAAGAAAGAATAAGATAAATAAACTAGCAAAGCAGAGAACAGTATATAGTATTCTAGAATTTCTGTCTTGGGCCCCTAAGGTTTTACTTTAGAACCTCTTCCTATTCTATGAGCGTATTTTGTCCTTTTGGGGATATAAACACCCTTTTTAGAAGAGTCTGATGAAAACTACATCCTTTCATCACCGCACACCCACAAAAAAGTATACAGGTACTAATCTTACAAATAATTTGGGGGAAGGCCAGAAAACCACTGAGGCCACCCATGGACACCCAGTTAGGAACTTCCATTTTATGAGAGAATGTCTGAGGTGCTAAAAATGTTCTTTTTTTGCTTGGGGTGCTAGTTATAGGGATATATTTACAAAAATTCACTGACCTATAAGTTATGCCCTTACAAAATATGCACATCATACCTATATGAATAAACCTGTCTTACATGCACTCTCTGATTAACATGGGGCCAGAAATGACTTCGTATGATGGTAACTCCCCAGCTTACTGTGTGCCTTACTTTCTCCTAAGGCTGAGCTTGTTATATTTAATGCCTTTACTGGACAACTCTCCTTTGATGTCCCAGAAGTACCTCAAAATATAATATATTAGAAACTAAATTCATCCTCTCTCCATCAAAACATGGTCCTCCATCTATCTTAGTAAACAACATCACCAACAGCCATTTAATCACACAAGCCAAAACTCTGATAATTTTAGACTACTCTTTCTTTCCTGGCTCATTTTAACCTTAATATCAAATCAGAGAAAAAATAATTACAGAATTTTTTTTTCAAACTTTGAAAAGAGTAAATAAATAATCAAGTTCAGCAAAGGTATTTGAAAGTTACCATTGTAAAAGATGCTTTTTTCCATTGGTTCCATGAATTCCATTCCAAGAATTCTTTCAAGCAGTAACTTATCTTTTATAAAGTAATCCATTTCCTTATGAACCTAATTTTAAAAGATAGTCATTTCAGAAATAGTAGTGAAATAAATGCTTTCCAATTAATATAAAATTAGGAGAGAAAAATGAATATTAGACACAGAGAATCTATTCTTCAAAAAAGACTGAACTTACTGTCTGGGATCTTTAACAAAATTCTCTTTCGGAATGTTTTCAATTTTAAATGCCCTTAGTAATATTTAGGGCTAGGTATACTGAAAATCAATTTATAACAAGCTTCTCATGAATAAATATAGTGTAATGTAAGGGTAACAATAATGAATAAAACAGTAATATTTGGTAACTAACAAAATTCACCAGTATAGACATATTTTAAGGCAATCATTATGTTAGTAAAAAATAAAATATCATTTTACTTAGATAACTATCCTTAAGCCAGAATTGTTAATGACTAGAATAGCTTTTTTAAAAATTTTATTTATTATTATTTTTCAATTTGATCAGAGAGAGATAGAGAGAAAGGGAAAGTGAGAAAGCAAGCAGCCAGATTTGGCACTCAAACCACAGTCAGCCATGTGGGAGTCCAGTGCCTTAAACCACCACGGCACCTGCTGGTCCCTAGAAATAGCTTTTTAAAAAATATCATTCCTGGGACCAGCAGTTACATAATGCAGTTACATAATGTCGCTGGACTCCCATGTAGTCGACCACAGTTTGAGTCCTGGACCTGGTGGCTTAAACTCACAGCAGGCACATGTGGGTGCATGCCCAAGATCCCGAGAGGAGAATGGAGGAGAAGGGATTGCGGCATGGCCATACCCCCTGGGGGGTGATTTCTCACTTTCTGTTTCTCTGTCTCTGTCTTTCTGGCAAGCACACATGTTCTATAGCAAAAACCTCTCCCCCCCCTCGCCCTCTCACATGTATATTAAAATTTGTGGCTGCTTGGGAACAGCAGATAGCCTAATGGTTACTTTGCTGGTTTCCCACATAGATGACTGTGGTTCAAGTCCCAGACCCAGTGGCTTAAAAAATATATGTGGATGCTAAAGTTTTTTAATTAAATGGTGCAGTATCTGCAGATAGCCTCTGCAAATTCTTTATATATTTTAGTAATTTCTAGACTGCTTACAGAATAAGAAATAAAAAGTGTGTAAATGTTCAGTACAGATGCAATTAATTTTTTTTCTAACATTTCCAATCTGTGGATACAGAACCCATGGATACATAGCACCAACTAAATTTGACAGACAACAAGAAAAAAATTGTCTATGTCCATTGACTTGATTGACTAAAGAAATAAAAAACTGACATTGCCACTTAACTTTTTAAAAATTGCATGTGATCTCTTTTCTCTACTCCTTTTCAATATAGTGCTAGAAGTCTTAGCCAATGCAATCAGAAAAGAGAATAATATAAAAGGCATTGTAATAGGTAAAGAAGAGTTAAAAAACATCTTTATCTGCAGATGACATGATGGTATGCTTAGAAGACCCAAAGGTTTTCATGAGAAAATTTCTCGAGGTAATACATGAATATGGTTAAGTGGTAGGATACAAGTCAACATCCCAAAATCTATAGCATTTCTATATACTAATAACAAGTTGACTGAGGTAGAACTGAAGAAAGAAATCCCTTTTACCATAGCCACAAAATATATAAGATACCTAGGGATAAACTTAACTAAGGAAGTCAAAGACCTTTACAAAGAAAACTATGAAAATCTTAAAAAGAAAAAGATATTAAAAATGACACAAAAATGTGGAAGGACATCTCATGTTCCTGGATTGGAATAATTAATATAATCAAAATGGCAACTGTATCCAATTTAATCTACATATTTAATGCAATTCCAATCAAATTATAGAGACTTTTTCACATATCTAGAAAAGACAATCACAGAATTTGTCTGGAATCATAAATGACCTTGTATTATCAAAGCAATTCTGTGCAAGAAGAGTGGAATGGGCAGCATCTCATTCCCTGAGCCCAAGATATGCTATAAAATTGTGATAATCAAAACGGCATGGTACTGGCACAAAAACAGACAAGTAGACCAATGGAATAGAATAGAAACCCCAGAAATAAACTCCAAACCATATAGCCAACTGATTTTTGACAAAGGATACCAGTCAATTCAGTGGGAAAAGGAAAACCTCTTTAGCAAATGGTGCTGGAAAAATTGGGTATTCATCAGTAGAGAGATGACACTGGATCCCCATCTTTCACCATTAACAAAAATCAACTCAAAATGGATCAAAGATCTGAACCTAAGACCTCAAACTATAAAACTACTGGTAGAAAACGCTGGGGAAACTCTGGGAGACATTGGGGTAGGCAAAGACTTCTTAAATAAGACTCCCAAAGCACAGGCAATAATCCCTAAAATAGATAAATGGGACTATATCAGATTAAGAAGTCTCTCCACAGTAAAGGACACAGTAATTAGTGTGAATTGATAACCCTCAAAATGAGAGAATATTTTTGTAAAATATGCCTTAGACAAGGGACTGATAACCAGAATACACAGGGAACTTAAGCGGCTTACCCAAAATAAAATGTCTAACCCAACTAAAAGATAGGAAAATGAGCTGGACAAAAATCTCTCTAAGGAAGATATATGAACAGCCAAAAAGTATATGAGGAAATGCTCAACATCCCTCATCATCAGGGAGATGCAGATTAAAACCACCATGGGGTACCACCTAACCCCTGTCTGAATGGCAAAGATTAAAAACACAAAAAGTGTTAAGTATTGGTGGGGTTGTGGTGAAAAGGGAACTCTCCCACACTGATGGTGGGGATGTAAATTGGTCCAGCCACTGTGGGAAACAATAAAGAGGTTCCTCAAAAACCTACAAATAGAACCACCACATGATCCAGCAATCTCACTCCTGGGTACCTACCCAAAGGACAGGAGAATGTTCAGTTGGAAAAGCGCTAGCACATCAATGTTTACTGTGGCATTATTCATGATTGCTAAGACATGGAACCAACCCAAATGTCCACAAAGAGATAGATGGATGGAAAAAAAGTGTGTCACATATACTCTATGGAATACTCTTCTGCCATAAAAAACAACAAGAACCTGGTATTTGATAGAAAGTGGTCGAATATGGAAGATTTATTGCTGAGTTAAGTAAGCCAGGTTATGAAAGAAAGATACTGTATGTTTCCACTGAACATACACCAATTGTCTGCACTTTATGGTAGAGACTGTAAGACTGCAGTGCAGAAAAGCAGTGAAAATATTTGTGGATGCTGGAAACAGTGTGGATGGAGGGTGGGAGAAGGGAAGAGTATAGGAAAGGAAAGCAGGGAGAAGAAATAGGTAAGACATTTGTGGGACACAGATGGTTCAGATCTTTGATCCATTTTGAGTTGATTTTTGTTAATGGTGAAAGATGGGGATCCAGTGTCATCTTTCTGCTGGTGAATACCCAGTTTTTCCAGCACCATTTGCTAAAGAGGTTTTCCTTTTCCCACTGAATTGACTGGTATCCTTTGTCAAAAATCAGTTGGCTATTGATGATAATGTGTATAGTATTCTCAACTGCATTGGTGTAAGATGTTTTACATGTTGGGTAAATTCTCTTTACAAGCCAAATGATGTATATAGCAATTAACTGTTTAAAAAAAAAACAAGAATAATAAAAATAAACTACATTTGTAAAATGCATGTGATCCTAGATTAAATATAAATGTTGACATACATACATGATCGATGAAAGAGCCAAGAAATTTATTCATCATATGATATGCTTTTATACTCTGCTCAAGAGTACTTGCTGATGAACCCAGTAATCTAGCAGGACCATTTTTCTAATGTAACAAAGAAATAAATTAATGTAAGATGTCTTATGTATTTAGCATGTAAATAACATTAAATATTTACAAAGTATACTTGAACTGTACTTTATACAAACCCTTGTTAGTGTTTCATGAATTCTGTCATAGTGTTGTCTCATCTGGCTAGAAATTGCAATTTGAAAAGTCTGACCATCTGTGTTGGGTACCAAACCTCTTTGGCTACACAAATTTTCCTGAAAAGTTAAAGAATTTAAATTAAGATTAAAGTTATAAAAAAAAAAAGCCTATCTCAAAAAGAAAATACAGTGTTTTTCTTTTAAGTGGTATCACACATTACAAGACTCAGAGCTAAGAAAATTTACTGAAAATATGTTTAAGACAGATTCTAGTATTATCTAAGGTTCCCCCTCCCTTACAGATTTTACTAATCTCTGCTTTGTCCTAATTCATACTTCCCTGCAGGTCTTTATAGCATCTCCTTAAATCTGTTCTTCAGAAAAAAATTCATATCTTACTAAGTTCATCGTATATTGACCTCTGTGCTTTCTTCATGAGTTAACTTTATTGCTCTTTAATATATGCCAAAAAGCCCAGTTTTAGAATCAACTGATTTTATAATGTAAATGGTCTTTAAAAAAAAAAGAATCCAAACATTTTTAAATGTCTAATTAATTCCAACAAAAGGTAATGATACATTACTGAACTGCTAATGTAAGGGTCAGATCTTCATTTCAGGTCTTCTTGTACCTGATAACTGGAAACGTGAAATTTTATCCATCACACTACCTAACTGATCCTATTGATGCTTCATGGTTCCCATCAAGCTCTTTTGTCTCTATGAAGCCTGTGTGTCTACTCCAGAGCCTAATATTCATTTCTTTTTCTAAACCTGACCTACAAACACAATAAAGCACTTCCTGGTTTTCTACAGACTCAAAGAACACATGTAGAATATTTCTCTATCTAAAAAATTTTTTTTTCTTGATTGAAACAGTATATACCATTGCAAAGAATTTATAAAATATGAAAAGGTACAAAAAAAAAAAAGGAAAGATAAAATGACTTATAATCTCAACACCCAAAGATAGAGATATTATAAGGCATTTCACTGCCAGTACTTTTTCTAAGGTATGTAAATGTCTGTGTGTGTGTGTGTGTGTGTGTGTGTGTGTGTGTGTGTGTGAGAAAAACGAGATTGAATTCTTTTGCTCTTAACATTATACCCAGAGCAACTCCTTATGCCATTAAATACTGTGTAAGATATGACTTTAACATCTGCTTAAGCTTTCACTGTAAAAATAACTCAATTTATTTAATATCCTATTTTTACATATTTTTCACTTATAAGACCCTGTGATAAAGATCCTGATTCTAATTAAACTATTTATACTGCTAATTTTTCATTGAGTTAAATTCATAAAATTCATGAAACAAATAATATTAACTCTTAAGAAGATCTAGAATATATATTGGCAAAATGCTTTCCAGAAAATTTGTAAAAATTTATTCTGACACAGGTAGTTTTATGGGTGGCCATTTCACTGTGTCTTTACTGCTATAAAATATTAGCTTTTTAAAAAAATGCTAATTTGAAGATGGAAAAGCCATTTTTTATATTCATTTCTTGACTATGAGCTAAAAATTTTTTAGAAAACTATTAGTCTCTTGTGTTTCTTTCATTATTATATGTTTACATCTGATCACATGTCTTTACAGTGCAAATACCATGCATGTCAGTCAAGACAAAGATATTACTCTATACCTTATCATCAGCAAATAGCTTCTCACTTTTTTTTTATCAATTAAGCATACTTTCACTTGTTTTTTTCCTTCCCCCTTCCCCTCCCTCCCTTCCATACTAAACAATTTTTTCACATTTTATTCACAAAGTTTCTTAAACTAAAAATATGGACAAAGCTAGAATCTAGTGACAGTGACAACTGTAATTTTCTTCTGAAACATTGTTTCTCTTTCCAGTCCCCCTTTTACTAAAGAAAAGTATAAACTAACTTATCTGCAAAAATATTAGGTTAATCTCAGTTTGGTCTGTTATTTTGCACAAAGCCCCATAAAAATTCAATTTCTGATGCAAGGCAACAGATACTATTGCATTATTGAATTTATGCAAATAACCATTCTGTCACAAAATAAGAATGACCACAAATATTTTCCAATTGCAAAGGGGTCAGAGGAAGGGAGAAAATTTATGTTTCAATTTTAAAAAATTTAACAAATTGCTGAACCTATTAACAACTCAAAAGAGAACCAAAATCCTTGAATTTGGAAGGTTTATCTGAGAATGTTTCAGGCTTTTCTTCCCATATGAAGGATAATTTTGCCAGATATTGTATTCTTGGCTGAACTGTTTTTCACTTAACATTTTGAATATAATTTCTATACTTTCCCTGCTTGCATTGTTTCTGACAAGAGGTCTGATGCTAGCCTGATGGGATATCCTTTGACAGTAACTTGACGTTTCTCTCTTGCCAATTTTATTATCTTGTCTCTGTCTGTGGTTTTGGTCAATCTGACTATGATGTGCCTTGGAGAAGATCTTCTTGGGTTGATTCTATGTTGATTCTTTGTATTTCTTGGGTCTGGATATTTGAATGCCTTTCTAAGTTTAGAAAGTTTTCTTGGGACCAGCAGTTAGTGTAATGGCTATGTCGCTGGACTCCCACATAGTCAACCGCGGTTCGAATCCCAGACCTGGTGGCTTAAACTCACGCCGGGCACGTATGTGTGCGTGCCCAAGATCCTGAAAAGAGAATGAAGGAGAAGGGATTGTGGCATGGCCATCCGCCCTGGGGGGTGATTTATTGCTTTCTATCTCTCTGTTTCTCTCTGTCTGTCTGGTGAGCGCACGCGCCCTATAGCAAAAACCTCTCAAAAAAAAAAAAGAAAAAAGAAAGAAAGTTTTCTTCCAGTGTTTCATGGAATAGATTATCAATGCCCTTATTAGTTTCTTCACCTTCTGGGATACCAATTATCCAGATGTTTGGATATCTAATGGTATTTAGTATTACTTATATATTATTCTCATTTTGTGGGATTATTTTCTCAAACATCTTGGTGAATTTTCTAGGTCAGAGGTTCTGTCTCCTACACCTTAGATTTGATCTTCTGCATGATCTAATCTGCTGTTAATACTTTGAAGGGAGGTTTTGATTTCTTGTATCACAGCCTTGATCTCTAATAATTCCACCTGATTCTTTTTTATGATGTTTATTTCCTCTTTCAGATCATGCAAGAACTTTCTCACCTCCTTGAATTTAATGTCTCTTTTCTCCTGCATCTTCTGGAGTTCATTGTCTCTCTTCTCTTGCATCTCTGTTAGCTTTGTAACTATGAATATTCTAAATTCTTTAACATTTTCACAAGTTTCATTATACTGTCTATGAAAGATGAAGGGCTGTTCTTTCCTCCCCTTGAGGGGAGAGATATTTTTTTGGTTTCCCATATTTCTTGTGCCTTTGTGGTGGTTTCTGGCCATCTGATGGATTATATGTAACTGCCTACTTTCTGAGTGTTAAGCATGCAGGAGAAGATGACCTGCAATTTTTCTGCAGTTCCATTTCCCTGATTCTCATCAAGTAACCTGCACTTTTGTCAAAGGAAGTGGATATTACAAAGGCCTCACAGTTTCTAGGGAATAGGTACACCAGGGCTGAATTGCAGGGTTTCAACTTAGAATTCAAAGGTGTGTGGGAGGAGATGAGCCATGCTTTTTGTAGCTCCGTGTTTCTTCCTACTGCTCACTTTGCAGTCTCTCTTCTCTGACTTTTAGTCATTTGGTGGTATATTCACATTTGGCCAATTTGTTGATGATTTCTGCCACTGTAAGCTCATATGCTTCACTTAACTATAAGGTACTTCTATTCCTATGTTGCCTCTACCACTGTGTTTAGCAACATGGTATCCACAGAAAGAGATTTGAATTCAGAGTATGAGTGAGTTTCTCCCATTCTGCATCAGTTCAGTGGGGGTTGAAGTTTTCTATTACCCTAAAAGTATTCAGATGTTTTGCTACTGTGCATCTACATCTAACTAGACACTGAAAGCATGGAAGCTGAGAAGCAAGGTGAGAAAGTCAAGTAAAAGAAAAGGAAAAGGAAAAAGATGAAAAAAAAAAGATGAAACAAACACACACACACACACACACACACACACACACACAAAATGAACAGGGAAAAAAAGTTTTTTTCCTTAAAGAAAGTGAAAAACATGCAGTGCTCTGCATGGCGGGCAGAGCTGGGCCCACCTCAAGTGCACATGGATTCTGAAATTAGCAAGAGAAAGGAAAGGTCAGAGACAAGAGACAGTAGTTACAGATTTTTATAAAACATATATATATATATACACACACATACATTTTTCAAGAGAAAGGGAGGGGGGAGAGAGACAGAGAGACAGAGACAGAAAGAAGACAGAGACCAGCCTACTTTACTTCGCCAAGAGTTGGGCTGGAAGGAGAGCTTTGGGGCAGAGGCTTAGGCTTTCCAGAAAAAGGGGCAGAGCTGAGCCCACCTCAGATGCACATGGATTCTCGCTTCACTAGGAGTTGAGTTTTTTTTTTATTTAATCTTCTGGTCATTTTTCCATTAAAGCTTTAAATTTAGTATTCTTATTGGTTGATAAGGACTCTTATGCTATTTACTAATATCTTTGTCATATTTGTTATGAGCATTTTATCCTAATTTGCTATCTTTTATTTATGATTGTTTGTTATGTAAATGTACTACATAAATAAAGTAAAACCAACTAATATTCCCCTTCTGATACTTTCTATTCTTTATGCTTAGAATATTATCCCCAATCTGAAATATTCTTTTCCAGGTTATTATGCTTTCAACTTTTACTTTCTTTTTTTTTTTTAAGATTTTTTTTTGCCATAGCGTGAGTGAACTCACCAGAGAGAGAGACAGACAGAAACAGAGAGAGGGTAAGTGAGAAATCGCCCCAAGAGGGATGGCCACATCGAAATCCTTTCTCTTCCACTCTCCTCTCAGGATTTTGGGTGTGCACGCATATGTGCCTGGCGTGATTTTCAAGCTACTGGGTCCAGGACTCAAACAGTGGTCAGTCATGTTGGAGTCCAGTGCTTTAACTACCCACCCATCTGCTGCACCCTACATTTAACTTTTCAAGTATGGAATATTTCTAATAATTAATCAGTGATCCAGTTCAATGTAATAAATAAGTTTTCTGAGATGCCATTATCATGTATCAAATTCTTACAAGCCACAAGTATAACCAATTAAACACTAAATGCTCTTTGTTTTTCCTTTTATGTGTACCTTGGTTTTTCTTAAATTTATAAGTTTTCAAATATACATAATAGAAAAAAAAGTAACCCCCTACATTTTGCCAATTTTGTTCCATGGATTTTCCCAGCTTCTCTTTTTTTCTTAGAGTATTTTATAGCAAACCTAGACCATGTCATTTCAACTACAATACTTCTGTATATATCTATAACTAACACAGCCATTTTAAAAAAAATAATGACCATGCTATTATCATACCTAACAAAATTAATTATTCCTAATAACATTTAATATTTAGTCCTTTAAATCTCACAGATGATTTTTTCCAAAGTTTTTTTTTTTTTTAATAAGTGTTTGTTTTAATTAGGACCCAAAGGAAGTCCACTCAGTGTATTTGTTTTGCTGCTTAAACCTCTCTTGTTATGTAATAGTTCCATTACCACTATCACTCCTCCTTTTCGTGTTTGGAGACACTGAGTAATTGGTGTTATAAGGTATCCTACACTCTGGATCTGGCTAATTATCTCCTCTAGTACTATTTAATTTTTTCCTCTATTCCTTGTATTTCCTGTAAACCGGTTAGACCTAGAGGCTTGATTACATTCAAGTTCAATTTTCTCAGGCAAGAATATTTCATGAACGATGTTTTGTACTTCCTATTGCATCATATCAGGAAGTGTATGATGTCAGTCTTCCTCATTTTTACTTACAGAAAAATTGAACCACTGTGTCTAGATTATGTCAAACCAATCTTTCTTTATAAAGTTTTCAATCAACATTCACTTAATTGTTTAGCATCCATTGATGATTGTAATATATATTCATTAATTTATTGGTCATTACAAGTGTTAATTTTATAGTATAGAATATCTCCAAGAGCCAGCAGGTGGCACAGTGGTTGGGACACTGAACTCCCATAAGGCTGACCACAGTTCAAGTCCTGGACCCAGCAGTTTTAATTAAAAAAAAAAATTTTAAGGATTTTTGCTAAAGGGTGCATGTGCTTGCTGGACAGACAGAGAGAGACAGAGAGGGAAAGTAAGAAATCACCCTTTGTGGGGTGACCATGCCACAATCCCTTCTGCTCCACTCTCCTCCTGGAATTCTGGGCATGCACAAATGTATTGGTGTGATTTTTAAGCTGTCACGTCCAGGACTTGAACAGTGGTCAGCCAAGTGGGAGTCCAACACCTTAACTATTGTACTACCTGCTGGCCCTAGCCTAGCAGCTTTAAAATCATAGCAAGTATGTGTATGTGTATGCCCAAAATCCTAAGAAGAGAATGAAGGAGATGGGGTTACCATGTGGCCATCCCCTGAGGGGTGATTTCTCATTTTCCCTATCACTGTCTCTGTCTCTCTCCCTTGAGCCCATGTGCCCTAAAGCAAAAAAAGAAAGAAAGAATATCTTCTAATTTATTTTATAAGGAAGACATTTCCCTTATGAATTATCTGGTTACTCTGAAACACAGTTCATATAGAAACTGCAGGATATAACATGATTCTAATTCTTTATCTAGGGTAATGAGTTGGCACCTCAGCAACTTTCAAGAGTGATCAGTGAGAATTTTTAAAAATATTATTACAAATCCTAAGTTAAGAGAACACCTCAATTTAAAAATAAAAATATGTAAAACATACTCATACCGCTTCTCTTTTAAGATTCATATTCATTTCTTCCATGTTAGTATCTGCATGCCCATGTACTGATCTGCCGTGAATGTAATATCCAAAACATTTGTGGGATAAAAGAAATACTGATATCTATAAAAAGAGAAGAAAAAGGAGTAATTGGCAACTTACCTGTAAAGACCCCCAATTTTTTTTTTTTTTTGGAGAGGTTTTTGCTATAGGGCGCATGCGCTCGCCAGCCAGCCAGACAGAGAGAGACAGAGAGACAGAAAGCGAGAAATCACCCCCCAGGGGGGATGGCCACGCCGCAATCCCTTCTCCTCCAGTCTCCTCTCGGGATCTTGGGCATGCACACACACGCGCCCAGTGTGAGTTTTAAGCCACCAGGTCCGGGACGCGAACTGCGGTTGACTATGTGGGAGTCCAGCGACATAGCCATTACGCTAACTGCTGGTCCCCACCCCCCAAATTTTTTTTAAACTGTTTTCTCTCTCTCAAAATAGTGAAGATCGAATTCTCTTTATTTATTTATTTATTTTTTTGAAGAGGCTTTTGCTACAGGATGCATGTGCTCACCAGAAAGACCAAGAAAGACAGAGAGACAGAAAGTGAGAAATCACCCCCCGGGGGGATGGCCATGTCGCAATCCCTTCTCTTCCATTCTCCTCTAGGGATCTTGGGCACGCACGCACACACGCCCAGCATGAGTTAAGCCACTGGGTCCGGGACTTGAACCACAGTCGACTACATGGGAGTCTAGCAACATATCTATTACGCCAACTGCTGGTCCTCTAAAGAGTGAATTCTTAGAAAATATGTAAAGAGGATAATAAAGTAATAAAAAGTAAAAGAGTCATTATTAAAAAGTAGATGGAAAGCAGTGTGAGGATATTTTTTACAGAAGGAAGAAATGGGGTTGACATGAAAAATTTTCAGAGGCCCTGGGCTGAATGAACTATTTCACAGCATAAGAAATTAATAATTATGAAACTGCAAATAAAGAAGAAAAAAAACAAAGACAGTATTAACTTACAGCTGATTATAACTATCACTAGAATTAACAACTGGTAGAAAATTAGGCTAAAAATCTAATCACACCAAATCACTTTTAAGCCACTCTTAATATACACATGACCTTTAAAAGGGGAAAAAACAGTTGCAAGATAAAGTCAGAAAGTACTTACATTACTCATAGAGCATAAATCAACGAACTGTCGAATTTTATCCTCTATAAATCTCTCATAAAAGACAGCAAAGAACATGATCTGAAACATTAAGCCAAGTTCATGCTTATTAGCTTTTAAGATTTTAATTTTCTTCTATAGTGACAGTGTAATATTTTAAAAAAAGAAGTTCCAATCAGTGACACTATGTCCTCTAATGGTTCCTGTGGGATAAAACCTTATTGTCATTGCTGACTCTTCAGTCAAAGGAAGGAGGATTTGGGAATCCTTGCATTGTCAAGAACATGAAACTGGGATGCTCATGTTCAAATTTCAGTTCGGCCAATAATAAAGTACATTACATCAGGCAAATATTTAACCTTCTCGTGCCTTAGTTTCCTCATCATCAAGTGAGGATACTCAAAGAAGCTATTTCTGAGGACTACCATAAAGATCACATAGTTAATACACATAAAGCACAGTGCCTGGATTATAATACAATAATTAGCTATGCACTCTTGTTCTTATCACCTTTATTCTGTACAGAATTCAGGGTAAGGTCAATATTTGAGGGGAATCAATATGTAAGCAGAGTTACAGAGGGGCAATGTCACTCACAAGTATAATCTCTTGTTACCTGTATAATTCCAATGACTAGCCAAAGAGCAGTAGACACTGCATATCTCAAAATGCGGCTATAAGGTGCTATGTAGCTAGGTGGGCTTCTGGAAAGACTAGACGATGGGTCCATTATTGCTAAGTTCTTGAATCCCACAATCTGGAACAAAAAGGAAAAAATAATCATCTTAACAGACATACATAAAGAAAACTCCTCTAGACCGAAAACAGAATACTCCTCCCTACTCCTTACCTTAAAAACTAAATATTGGGGGGAACCAGCAGTTAGTGTAATGGCTATGTTGCTGGACTCCCACGTAGTCGACCACGGTTCGCGTCCCGGACCCGGTGGCTTAAAACTCACGCCAGGTGCGTGTGCGTGCGTGCCCAAGATCCCGAGAGGAGACTGGAGGAGAAGGGATTGCGGCGTGACCATCCCCCCCGGGGGGTGATTTCTCGCTTTGTCTCTCTGTCTCTCTGTCTGTCTGGCGAGCGCATGTGCCCTATAGCAAAAACCTCTCAAAAGAAAAAAAAAAAAAAGTTAAATTCACAGAGACACAAAGTAGAATGGTGGTTGCCAGAGTCTGGTAAGGAGTAGACTACAGAATTGTTTGATGAGTATAGGGTTTCAGTTATGCAAAATGAAGAGTTCTGGAGATGGATGGTGGGTCAGTTTTGCACAACAATGTGAATGTGCTTCACACTACTAAACAGTACACTTAAAAACAGTTAAGACAATAAATTTTATATTATTTCATCATAACTTTTAAAAAATCAATCCTTTTTAGTAGCTTGAGAATATTCCAACTTTCAAAAAAATCTTCCCCTACTATGAAAAGTTCATTGGATTTGTATTAACATTTATGAGGTACCCATAAATTACATACAATTACATCAACAGTTTTTACCTCCAAAAAGAAGAGGACAGAAAGTACTTGAAAGAGTGGATTAATCTTTCTCACAGTCTGAATTTCATTCCATTCATTTGCTACAAAATACGTCCTCCATATGCTTATTGGAACAGTGGCACTCCGCACACCACCTTCGCCTGGTCACGGAGATAAAATGAGCAAAAGCGTTTCAGCTTCTTAGCTCTACAAAGGTAGCAAAAGGATTCTGATACAAATATTATCTCAGTTACCTTCAACAGCTTTAAGAACCTTTCCTTTAGGTCGTTCCCAATCAATAAAGAATATATCTACAGTAATCTGGGAGATGAGCTTATGCAAAAATTGCAGAGCCTAAGAATGATATACAATAAAACACCTGATAAGTATCTGTACTATCCTGCTTATGAAACAAACCATATTGATTAAGAAACATACAGTAATGATAAGAATATATAATTTTTACAAGTGATTTCACAAGAATTTATAATAGTTATAATACCATTAGATCACTAGAAACTCATCAAATAACCCAGAATCACCAAATTCACAGGATTTTCATACACATATTCTGAATTCATATTTTCTTTTTCTTTCTTCAAAATAGATATAAAGGGACCATGGCCTAATGGTTATGTTGCTGGACTCCTATGTAGTGAACCATGATTTGAGTTCCAGACCTGGAAGCTTAAAACTCATGCCAGGCACATGTGTGGGGGTGCTCACGATCCAAAGAGGAGAATGAGGGGAAGGGATCGTAGCATAGCCATCCCCACTGGGGGGATGATTTCTCGCTTTCGTTCTCTCTACTTCTCTCTGTGTCTCCGGCGAGTGCATGAACCCTATAGCAAAAGTATCTCTAAAAAAAATAGAGATATGGAAAAAGGAAACATTCTACCTCTTCCTTCAATAGGGACCTTGCAAAATTAACTCCCAAGATTTCTAGAAGCATCCTTATAAAGAAGTAAAGACATTTTTCAATATAACTTCTTGTTTTAATTAGCGTTTCAAGATATACTCACTGTTTTTTTAATCTCTTTCTACTATTGAGATTTCTGATTTTTAAAAAATCAGTTATTGAAATACACCTTTCTCATTTACAGAAGCGATAAACTGAAGCATTCTTCCTAGTAGACACATTACTGATAAAAGAGGGATAAAGATCTAAGTATAAGAATATAGGGTGAGACCTATCAATAAAGCATGTGAAGAGCTTCACTTACACTGAAGTTGGGGAGGGGCTGCCCTAGGAAGAAGAGAAGGAGAAGAACATGGAGACAAAATAACTTCTAAGATTTCAGCATTTTGGTACTGTTTACCCTCATTTAAGAGTCAAAATTTATCCCTTAAGACATTTTGTCCCATTGCAAATACATCATTAGACTTTAAAGAAGTTAGACATTGAAATATCATTCAAGTTAGCTATAACTTATATTCATCTAAACACAGTCACTACTTTTAAAAATTATTTAAAGCAGAAGCTATTATAAATAAAGGTAGATTTTGTAGGTAAAATAGTTCATGCTTTCTTTCAAAATCAAAGTTAATTTTATACCAAAGATTTTGAGAAAATTTTCATTTTAAAGGCTTACCAATTTATTAGCAGGCCTTTTAAATTCAATAACTTGTCCTTTGATACTTACCTTCAAAGCAAAAGCACATCCCACATAAGTAACAAAACGTTCTTCCTGAACTGGCATTGGTAACAAAACAGAGACAGATTTCTGTGCCTATGATAAAAATTACTTGGTTAAATATAATCACACAAGGTTTTACTAAACACAATTTATAAAACAAAGAAAGCACAAAAGAGGGAAAAAGTAATGTACTCAATGAAATGAGCACAGGCCCAGCCACAGTAGTGCATACTTAGACACACTGTTATTCAGCAGGCTGAGGCCACATAGAGGCCTGACTCAAGTGTCTTGGCCCATCCTAAAACGCCAGGTGTGCTGTGGAGGCACACACCTGCAGGCCCAGTTACTCAAGAGACTGAGGCAGGAAGACAACAACATGGCAAGGCCTTATCTTAATAATAAATAAATAAATAAATACACTTAGTATACTCAGGTAATCAAGACTTTGGCATTTGCCTCAAGACGCTTCATCAGAAATGTCCTCAATTGAAAATTTTTTTTAGAAAGAGAACTTAGCAGTTAGTTAGTTATTCATATATTGGCATTTAGGTTAAATTCAGAAACTCACTCACTTTGAAGAAAATAAGCCAATAAAGACCTGTTCCCACTGTGATGATAAAGAAAACATTGGCCAGGTCACCAGCGTAGTACAACAAGAATTTCATAACGGTCTGCAAATAAAAAAAAAGAATTGTAACTGTTAAAGACTCAATCTATTGACTACTTTTAATAACACACTTTTGTTTGTTTGTTTGTTTGCTATAGGGTACATGTGCTTGCTGGAGAGAGAGGAAAAGTGAGAAAACACTCCCTCCAGAGGGAATACCATACTACAATCCCTTCACCTCCATTCTCCTCTCAAGATTTTGGGAATGCACACTCACTCAGCATGATTTTTCAAGCTCCTAGGTCTAGGACTCAAACTACATAGTTGGTTATATGTGATCCAGCTGCCTTAACTACACCACCTGGCTGGTCCATAACACTACCACTTTTAATAACAATCTACCCAGGTCCTCAAGCCTGAAGTCTTGTCTCATGTATCCATTTATCACCAAGTTTCAAGTTTCAAAGACAAATGAGCCTTGCTTCTAGATGGCTCTCCATCCTTAACATTTCAGTCCATTCCCAGTAGCCTCTGCATTTTTTTAACCCTTCTCATCACTCACTAAATAGGTTAACACTGTTTCCTAACTTGCTCTTAGCTGAAACTCTGCACCCCATCCATCCTTCAAACTATCAGTTAGCTTTCTAAAATGTAAATTGGATTATATCATTCTCCTCTTTAAAAATGTACAATGACTCCTCACTAAAATATAAATTCCTGATCCACAACATCCTTTACGGAATGTACCAAAAATAACTTTTTAGCCTCATCTGTCAGTTCTAACCACTTACTCCATAATTAACCACTCCGCACCTTCATCTCAAAATCTCTGTGGAATGAAATGGCCATTGTTTTTGCAAATGTTCTTCCCTTCCTCTCTCTGGCAAACTCTCACGAGCTCTGAGGGCACAGACCATATCTGTCTTGGCTCCCAGCACTTGGTAGAGTGTCAGACACTTAAACAGTAACCCTCAGTGACTGTGAAATGAACTGAGAACCCGGCTTAAAGTGTACTACTCAGGGAAGCTTCGGACTATCCCAGAGAATCAAGGCTACCTACTCCAATTCTGTAACATTGCTGGCTTTGGTCTCAAGAAGATACCCTAAGGGAACCAGCAGTTAGCGTAATGGCTATGTCACTGGACTCCCACGTAGTCGACCACAGTTCGCATCCCGGACCGGTGGCTTAAAACTCATGCTGGGCGCATGTGCGTGCGTGCCCAAGATCCCGAGAGGAGAATGGAGGAGAAGAGATTGTGGCATGACCATCCCCCCTGGGGGGTGATATCTCGCTTTCTCTCTCTATGTCTCTCTCTGTCTGGTGAGTGCACACGCCCTATAGTGAAAATCTCTCTCAAAAAAAAAAAAAAAAGATACCCTAAGATGACCAGTTACATATAGTCTTTCTCATCCTCTTCATCAGTAAAATAGAAAGAACACCTATTGCTTTGTTATAAAAATTATATGCATAGATATTTTAACCTTTGTAACAATTTCATCATGTGTAAAAAGGGAACAGTAATAACAGTTATGTTATTTTGAGGATTAAGCAAATTATAAAGTTTAAGGCACACAGTAAATACTTAATAAACGTTCAATAAAAAACAAAAACAAACAAATCATTAAAAACAATCCAGTGGGGCCAGACAGTGGTGCTGCAGTAATGCAATGCTCTACAATGCTGGACCTACTTGGGAGGGTCCCAGTTTCCCATTCTAGAGCGTCCCTGTGAGTGCATGACCGTGACCCACACTGACTGAGAATGGGGATGGATCCCCAGATTCAGTTGGGGGTATCTATCTCTCTATCTTTAATTATCTCTGTCTGTCTTGCTCATGGAGGAAACACACACACACACACACACACACACACACACACACACACACACATATATTCTTTTAAAAAAGACCAAGTGAGGGGAACAGCAATTAACGTAATGGCTATGTCGCTGGACTCCCATGTAGTCGACTGTGGTTCGAGTCCTGGAGCAGGTGGCTTAAACTCACGCCGGGTGTGTGTGCGTGGGTGCCCACGATCCCGAGAGGAGAAGGAAGAAGGGATTGTGGTGGCCATCCTTCCCGGGGGATGATTTCTCACTTTCTATCTCTCTGTCTCTTTCTGTCTTTTTTGCAAGCGCACATGCCCTATAGCAAAAACCTCACCAAAAAGAAAAAAAAAAAGACCAAGTGAGAATTAAAAATATAAAGTTTATAGACTAAAACATGGGAAAATATCTTTGTGATCATGAGATAGGGAGACTGTTTACTTTTAGAGAGAGTTTTGCTATAGAGTATGTGCACTTGCTATAGGGTGTGTGCACTTGCCAGAGAGACATAAAGTGAGAAATCACCCCCACCCCCTGCCCCAGGGGAACGGTCACGCCACAGTCCCTTCTCCTCCATTCTGCTCTTGGGATTTTGGGCACACACACACATGTGCCTGGCGTGAGTTTCAAGCCTCAGGGTCTGACTCAAAACGTTGTCAGCCGTGTGGCAGTCCAGTGACACAACCATTACACCATTTTTTGGCCCCAAGGAGATTGTTTTCCTAAACAAGATCCTATCAGCACATTAATAACAAAAAATAATTCAGATGTGATAATATTGATATTAAATTTTCTGTTAAGCAAGGGAACATGTGAATAAATATAACAGATGGGTCATATACTCAAAGAAAATATTTCAACATATATTCAGAGAAGATACTTCAATATCAGAACCAAAAGGGGATTCATATTATAAAAATACAAGAAAAAATAAAACTCCTTCTAATGAACAAGAAAAATTACAAACCTAATAGAAAAATAGGCAAAGACTATAAATAGGATATTCAATGGAGTAGAAACCAAAATGATTAAAAAGTATATGGGACTGGCCCTGTAGCCTAGTGATTAAGGAAGCTGGATTCCACATTGCTGACCATGGCTGACCATGGCTGAAATTCTGACACAGCGGCTAGAAAACCACACCACGCGCATGCATGTGTGTGCCAAAATCCTGAGAGGACAGAGAAAAACAGCAGGGTTCACAGTGTGACCATGCCCCATTCAGAAGGGCCTTTCCTATCTTTCTCTGTCTCTCTCTGGTAAACATTTGCATCTCTGGCAATTATTAACAAAAGAAAGAAAAAAAAAGTGTATGAAGTCCCAGTTATGGTGACATGCAGGTAGTGCTACTGCTTGTGAGGCTGGAAGGCACATGGAAGGTCTGAATTCAGTTTTTGGGCCAAACTAAACATACTGGACCCAACAACATGTACCTGTAATCCTAACCAGCCAGACCATGTCAAAAATAACAATCTCTATTCTTTCTACTTTTCCCTTAATCACTCATCTAAAAAAAACTATATGAAGAATAATCTGATACATACTACTATATACCCCCAGAATGGCAAGAAATTGGAAAGGTTGAAAAAAAAAAAAATTCCACCATTGGTGAGAATATGAAGAAACAAGAATAGACTACTTGTGGGAGTAGAGCCGGGCATTCAGCACTATGGGGAGAAAATGAGGTGTGCATACTCTAAAAGATAAAAGTAAATTTTAAAAACTCCTGAGGTATTACCTGTAAATCAATCATGGGACTCCCAATGCGCCTCTTCCACCCTGCTGTCTTCAAAAGAGATGATAAAACAGCTAGCCCACCCAACACGCCCAGAGCAATCTAAAATAAAACACACACACACATTTTAGAATTTATGCAATTTCTCTGATCCATTTTCAAAAACACTATAAATAAAAAGCAAAACAGTGCTCAAAAATGGTATGAAGGGGACATGCTGAAAGGATATAGGAGCCAAATTAAAGGAACTTCCAATAGCCAAATCTGCGACAATCTGAACAAGAAGATAAACAGTAATGGATTAAAATCACCAAAATAAAATAAATATCCATGAATTCACACTAATTTAAATAAATAAGTGAATTTATTAACATAGGCAAAGGCAGAGCTCCTCCTTACTGCAGAGTTCCAACTAATAAGTATAGAAGGAATGAGGAAAACAGGAAATAACCATCAAGCAAATATCACAGTAATCATTTTTGCAGGTAAGAATCATCAATGGATGCTAAAATTAAAGGGCAAAAAAATTATAAGAAACAGGATATTTGCATAATTTCAAAGTATTTTCCCATGAAACTGTTCATTACAAATAGAAAAATATAGAACTACAGACATCATCTTAGCCCTACTATTAAAATTAATGCCCCCCATGGGACCAGCAGTTAGCGTAATGGCTATGCTGCTGGACTCCCATATAGTTGAACGCGGTTCGCGTCCAGAAGCTGGTGGCTTAAAACTCACACCGGGCACGTGTGCGTGCGTGCCCAAGATCCTGAGAGGAGAAAGGAGGAGAAGGGATTGCGGCATGGCCATCCCCCTTGGGGGGTGATTTCTCACTTTTTGTCTCTGTCTCTCTCTGTCTGTCTGGCAAGCGCACGTGCCCTATGGCAAAAACCTCTCCAAAAAAAAAAAAATTAACCCCCTCCCCAGTAGTAAGATACACTGACACCTTATACCTTCTGATATTATGCATTAAGAAGGGCAATTCCTGTGGTGTCTGCCAAAACTATATGACTCAATTTAATCATAGCAAATATCAGACTAACCCAAATTGAGACCCAAAATAACTGACCAGTACTTTTCAAGAGTCTTAGGGTCTGGGAACCAGCAGTTAGCGTAATGACTATGTCGCTGGACTCCCACATAGTCGACCGCGGTTTGTGTCCCGGACCCGATGGCTTAAAACTCACGCCGGGCGCATGTGCGTGCGTGCCCAAGATCCCGAGAGGAGAATGGAGGAGAAGGGATTGCGGCATGACCATTCCCCCTGGGGGGTGATTTCTCGCTTTCTGTCTCTATGTCTCTCTCTGTCTGGCGAGCGCAGCGCCCTACAGTGAAAATCTCTCCAAAAAAAAAAAAAAAAAGAGTCTTAGGGTCATGACAGACAAAGAAAGATTAAAAATTGTCACAAATTGGAGGACACTAAGGAGTCATGACAGCTAAAAGCAACATGGAACCCTGGACCAGGTCCTGGAAAAGAAAAAGGACTAAGAAAAAAGCCCGTGAAATTCAAATAATACATAGATTGTTAGTAGAACTACATCAATATTAATTTCCTGAATATGATCATTGTACTTTGGTTATGTATAATGTTAGCATTAAGAGAAACTGGGGCAAAAGTACATGACAAATCTATTTTGGCAATTTCCTGTACATCTAAAGTTATTTTTTTTCATTAAAAAATATACTGTAGGGGCTGGCAGGTGGCGTGGAAGTTGAGGGTGCTGGACTCTCACATGGCTACGGCAGTTCGGGTCCCAGACTTGGCAGCTTGCTTTCTCACTGCCCGGCCCCCGCCTCTGTCCCTCTCTGATCACATTTAAAATTAAATAAATAAATAAAGTTAAATAAAATAATTCTTTAAAAAAAATACTGTAAATATCTTAACAGCTTGAAATAAACTCACATCTGTCTGGACTTGAGCTTCTCCTTGATCCATTTCATAACTGACTGAAAAAGAAACCTGATAGTTAAAAGAAAACAAAGTAGTTATATTGAAATGATGTAATACAAATGTACTTTCCTTATAAAAACACATTTATAACTGGATTTTACCATAATCATTATATATATACTTTTTAAAAAGAATTATTTTTATTTTTCATTTTATTAATTCATTTATTTTAATTTGACAAGAGAGAGAGAGAGACACGCCAGATTCAGGACTCAAACTGAGGGCAGACATGTGGGAGTATCCAGCACCTTAACCACCATGCCACCTGCTGGTCCCCACTTTTTTTACAATAGGCAGCATGTGCATGTGTGCATGCACATACAAGAAAGAGGGAGAAACAGAGAAGGAACACTTATAGACAGAGTATTTTCATTCTGTAATTCTTCTTCCCCAGCCCTCTAGTTCCACCTCTGGGTGGGTGTCCACACACATGCCCAGCATGACTTTGGGCTGACCCAAGGATCCAAACCCAGTCAGCCATGGGCTTCCAGCACCGCAGTCCAAGACACTATACACTGCATTACGAACACTGTTTTATTCTTAAACTATTGGTATTACTAGAGTTGATCCTATGCAAACATAAATATTGGGTTGCTGGTAAAGTCATAATGTATTTTTCTGTTTTTCCATGCAAAAACAAGTCATGACTTTTATGACAACCCAATAGATATGCTTTTGAGAATCTTTGGTGTTGCTTGAACTCTTTTTAAGTGTTTTAGGTTTCTTTCTTTCATGATAACAAGAGACAGAGCAAGCAAGATAGAGAATGAGGGCAAGATAGGTACCCTCAAACAGGGTCTGGTCATATGATATCCTTCCCCATCCTTCCAGCTCATCAGGATCTTGGGGGCCTATGTACCCAGCATGTCTGAGGTCAATCTGGGATCTGAACTCACAGTTGACCATGTGGTTTACAGAACTATAGAGCAGCACACTACCACCTGCACCAAACTATCTCCTTTGAACATACATTAAAGAAGGAACTAATCTAAGTTCACTACTGCTGTTCATGCCAAAGTAATAATATTCCAATTTCTGATATGTTTTGTTACTGAGGAAATGTGACTGAACTCATGTAACAAGAATTTAGCATCTGGCTAAACAGTCAAACCCTAGGAAAGCAGAGTAGTAAAAGTCTAAACAAGAATTTTATATTGAAAGACAAAAAAGAAGAACCAATAAAGGGTAAAAGAAGAGGTAGGAGAAGCAAGACACCTAAGTCTCACCATGATCAAATAACGAGTTTCAAGAAGAAAGTGGTCATGAGTACAGTGTCGGAACCAACAGATGGAATAATGGTTATGTTGCCAGACTCCCACATAGCTAACTGTGGTTCAAATCCTGGACTTGGAGGCTTGAAACTCACATCGGGCACGACACATGCCCAAAATCCCAAGAGGAGAGTGGAGGAGGAGAAAGGATTGTGGCATGGCCATCCCCCCTGGGGAGTGATTTCTAACTTTCTGTCTCTCTGTCTTCATCTCTCTGATGAGTGCCTGTGCCCTATAGCAAAATTCTCTCTCTCTCTAAAAAAAGAGTCCATTATCAAATGGCTGTTTAAATGCCAAGTTAAAGAAATAATACTACTTGTGAAATGCAGATATTTTAAAGAAGTAAAATGGCAAGAGCTAGATAGCAGTAATGCTTTGTCCAACTGGTGAG